AAGATGGCGAACAATCTGAAAATTGCTCATGAAAAACAACAAAGCAAACTCATCGACATGGGCGGGCAAAGAATATCTAGGACAACGATGCACACGGGACACGGCTATTTGATGGAGCAGTATCATATCATCGTGGCGGTTTCATTTCTGCTTTAGTGGTGAAGCAGCAATGGGGACAAAAGAAGGGACGAGAAGCACACCTGTCCAAGACGCATCAAGCAAAACACTGCGTCTAAAGGTCACTATCAACAAGGGGCACATTATTACCAGAGGGACCCGACGGCATTGCGTAGACGCAATAATGGCGGCACTATCCGTATCCGACTTTCGAATGCATGCTGACGAGCTCACGTTGAAGACACTGATCGCACAACCGATAAATGCTACTCGACGAGAGAATCGGTCGATGGCTCCTGTCGCACGGGACATATATTCAAGAACTGCGCATTATTGACATTCGCACACACATATTGTTTATGGCAGCAGGTTGACCGTTAACAGGAGAGAACTTTTGAGGTAATTGAACTTTCATGATATGAGTTTGGAGCGGAATATGAGGCCAGTAGCATTGATGTGTGTATTTTTGATTGAATGATCTTTTAGTAAAAGCGGTGGGCGACATGACTACTCGATGATACTACCTTAAGGAAGGCATCGTGCATGTGTATCCATGACAAATCAATGGATGGCACGCAGCAAACAAGGGAGGCTTTCTGTCATTTCTTCTACATCAAGCGTTAGCTACAAGGACAGTCATTAGTATATATGGAGACAATACAATTTCATGGTCACACTACCTTGGAAATCGAAACAGAAGAAGCATACATTGCTGTATCATGGTAAGAAGCAAAACCAAGAGAAACAATGGATTATTCATGCTTTTGTAAAATTATCTGCTCATTGTGACTTTGCTACAATCATATCGTTAGTGAACGCCGCTATTCATGCAACGAAAAATTCGACATATTCTACCCAGCCAGGAAATCTCTCTGACAAAGCGTTGGTAAGTTACGGTCCAGGTAACGATAGCCCCCCAAAATACAAGTAACAAAAAGAAGAAAAAAAAGAAAAAAGAAAAGAAAAGAAATCAGGAATTAGATTAGTAGTAGATTAGAGAGAATGTAAAAACAACACCAAGCATCACGCGGTCTGTGACGACGGAAAGCAAAAGTAGCGAAATTCAAGGCAACAAAAAGACAGAAACAAATGTCAAGAAAAAAAATCATCACTGCCTTTCGTACAATACGGCACCAAGAAAACGTCAACAAGTCGGTGGCTGTCTTATCACCCTAAGCAAGTTTGCTTACAACGGCACTACATACCCGATCAACATCGCTTCAAAAGCTAACACATACAACAACAGCAGCAATTTATACAAGACAATCTCTTGGAAAGAAATCAGCGAAGAAAAGATGAAGTCTACACAAGACACACAGCATCACATACAAAACAAACCAAGCGATATCAAATTGCAGTCGATTCAATACCAGACTGAAAAGCAAGACTTGGGCAACTATAAAGTGAAATTAATCAACAGTAAGTACAAACAAGGCACACGGATTTACTTTGGAGTAAGACTTTGATAACTAACGTGAAAGGCTTATTGATATGATTTAGAGACAAAATACAGCGCTGAGGATCATCATCGATACAAAGCCACAAGCACAGTCTATTATCGACTTCAACGGCCTCCATATCATTCGCGTCGAGCTCAAGACAACAGAGCATTTAGCGAAGACTGCGCGAAAAAAAAAAGAAACAAGAAAACAGATCGACATACATACTCGAACGCAAAAATAACACGACATGATAACACATTCAAAAATGACCGAAGGTATCAACAAGCAAATCACACAGATATCATGTACCTCAGGCTACTGAAGACGACAATTATCAAGACGAAAAAGACCATAAAAATTGCCACAGACGAATCCCATAAATCAGAATATTATGTAGTTGAAGAAAAAATTATAGAAGAAAAAAAGAAATACAAAAAAATCAGAGGGCTATCGTTACCACGGACAAAAGCTTACTAACATTTGTAGGAATGCACGATTCTTTAGATATAATTTTACTACCATAAAAAATAAACATGTTTTTCCAATTCCTTTTTGCCATCATCGCAATCTTTTTCATAGAACAAAAGAAGCACTTGCGAAATATAGAGAAATGAATCACTCTAGTGCTACCTTCAATAAGGTACACAGAGCTATTCCCATAAAACCAGGGCGAAACCGCATGTTAATGAATTCTCAAAGAAACTAGAGCACAATATCAGAGTCTTAGAGTACTTGTTGGCCAAAAACGTACATGAATAACAGATTATGTCCCGCTCTATGTTATCGCACAGAAACAATGTCTAAAAGGTCTGTCGTTCCATAAAAATTTTTTTACGAGCATAGTGAATAGCTTCAGCGGAATCTTTTACGGGCTATTTTAGCAACGCAAGCCAACATCCCCTCACTGTCGGTGGAAACCGTAAGAGCCTCGTAGGATCACCCCTTTCTCATCTTGTTATCCCGTACCCTACTTAAAAAAATTCGATACGTCAACGTCGGCGTAACCTAATGATCTTCTTCTCGGCGGATTCCCACCTCATACTCTTCCATGAACCAATCACTTTTGCCCGTCACGGGAGTGGCTGTTTCTCGAGCATATACACGAGCATACAATAAAGCACTTTTGCGAAACAGTCATGATGCATATTGACCAACTATATCAAAAGGAAGGTGTTTATATATGCAACGCTGAAAAGCAACTTTCAAAGTAGAAAGAATGACTATTTAAGATGTAATAAGTAACATCGCCAAGACACACTTCGTCCACATCAGGTATCCAATGCATGCATCCTTCTTTCGTGTGTCCCGTGAAGATATTGTGCAGATTATCACAGAAGTTAAATTTTTTCTCGGGAAAATGTCTTTGCAAGTATATAAGCGATTGATTTTCAGGGGGCATCGTCACTGTAATCTGTTGTGTGCGTGTATGCATGGCGAAGAGCAGATCTCCTTCATCCACGAAGTGCTTTAATATATTATTGAAAACATCAATGAAACGAATAAAGAACAAATAGTAGAGATCGTCAAAAACTGATGCAGGATGTATTCTGTATGAGACCCGCTGTTCATCCATTTGATATAGGATAATTATCACACCTAACGCCGGTATCGTATAGTAACATTACAGTATGAAGTGAGAGCCCAGTTGAATTCCGCTTACTGGTGTTCACTGAGCAAAGTCATCGAGAATGGGTCGTATTTCATCGTTCTAATGCGGGAACGTACCAGTAGTTTAGTGATCATTTATTGACAGTGTACATATTTTTTGCCGAATCTTTGTATAGCAACTGTAGCAGTGAACATAGTATGCATCGCTATACTTCATCAGATATCCATTTGACCTTCGTTATCCACATCTCCTTTTTTAAAAAACAATACTGTGTCTGTATCAACCATGTGCAATTCAAAGAAACTGTGTCCATGTAATTGTTTGCAAATTTTGAGAAGTTAAATTATAGAAGGTTGTGATGTCGTATGTCGTCGTCGTCTTCTTTATCTTGAGTAGATGAGAAATAAGGATCGAGAAGCATGCATATCGTATGCAGAATGGCATACATAAGAATAAGGAGAAGAGACCCAAAGTGAAAAAGCAGAATCATTCTTACTGAGGAAAATTAGAAATCAACCATCAAGGAGTGCAGATGGGTTTAAAGAAATGCATTAAAAAGGCGTAGGATTTCAAGGAACAATAGCAAATTTCATATTCGCTGTTTTTCTTTTACTTTTCTCTGTTCAAAAAAATAATGCTTAGTAACGAATCGATCCGGTCATTCTTCGTCGCCTTTGCAGTCATTGCCGCTCTCATGACTACATCTACAACTGCTATGCCAATTGGCAATAGTGACAATCAGTCTCTCGTGGCTGAAGTCCTGAATGACCAAAGCTCGTCGGCGTCCAGTACTGATGATGTTACCAAAGCAACAAGTGGCGTCACCGGCGGAATAAACAGTGCTCTTGATATAGTTAAAGGTCCCGCCTCAGGAGATGCACAAAATTCAGCCGGTGGATCAGATACTACTGGAACTGCGGGTGGAAATACGCAAACAGGATCAAGAGCTAAAAAAGATATGCGAGTTGGTCGTCCTCCAAGCAGCGAGCTAAAGACGTGTCTCGCAGGAACTACCTGTCTGGAGTAATCGCAATGTCTGTCTTGCCTATTTTATAATCTACTTTTGTAAATTATTTTGTGATACGTTCTAGATCTACAAATATGCCGCACAACCTACTTTCGACTGTGCATTTCGATCGTAGTACAATAACAAAAATGTGTTATACGAATACTTATTTGTATTTTCCATAGCATGAAATAAAATTTTATCTCTCGTATGCGCGCGAGAGTGATTTTGACAACATCATCGGTAAGAAAGCATGTTGCAGATACTGCTTCTATAAAACAGGTTGACATACAGTACCCGCTCGTTAAACCGATCACCTCTGTTTTTCGAGAAAGTGATCGGTTTAACGAATGATCGGTTTAAAGATTTAGGGTCCGCCATGTGGATATAGAACTCGCTGGAAGGATCATCTTCTGATGTTACACTATTACATGTAATGTTTATATACATTTCAGGTTGGGATGCGAGTTGTTGAGGGGGAAGAAGAAGAAGAAGAATAAAAAGACATCAAATAAGCGATAGCGAAGATGAAACGAAAATTAAGCAATTGGTAGACGATCTCCTATTACTGTTGAGCCATTGAGTATTTGAACATCTGTGGAGAAGAATCAGGTCTTTGAAATTGATGCAATCTCATATCACCAATTTCGCCAATTAAGCTATTAAGCTTAGTAACTTAACCAAAACTAACCGATCAATCGTGGGACGAGTGATCGGTGATCGGTTTAGCGAACGTCCGATATTTTACTGCTTACCAAGCTGGTATTTTGGGGAAGTGATCGGTTTAACGAAATATCGGTTTAAGGGTGATCGGTTTAACGAGCGGGTACTGTACTGCTGTAGCATCTGTGTGTACTGTAGCTACTTTGAATATTTATGTCAGTTTGCGAATCCTCGCATACTAACTGGAGTAAAGTCATCATTACAGTATCTTCAAAAGGGATATTACTTATAGATTACATGTCAGAAAATGATAATGTCGGCTATGATATGCAAAATGTCAATTTAAACAACCCAAACCCAAGAATTTTAAAAAACATATTTCACTTGATGGATATGATCAAGGTATCAAAGCGGCACGGCCTAGCAAAAGATTTCGCGCGTCGTCTTCGTGATGCAATTTTCATTGTTAACCAACAAGATCGAGAACGTATCGAAATGTACTTGCAATCGCGTGGGCTTACTTAAGACTACATGCTGACAAAAAACCCTGCCTGGATCTTAAAGAGATGCAGAAGACACGTTCCCCTGCCAGAAGCATTGTATCCAAAAGTCCAAAATCTGTTTGCCGAATATGGAGAACTACGATGCGCACGATCTGGTCGGTCACTTTTTGATGATGAAGCTTGGCGTCAAGCTCGTAGAGTTTTGCGAGCAATCCGTGCAGGAGAAGTTTCCGATCCACCCGACATCTCTCTTTATTTCCAAGCCGGTGTTGATTCCCTTGGTTTTCCTCTGTATCGGTGCAGTAGAGGCACAAACTCCCTTGAAGGTGGAGTACATCAAAACATCATCCGTAAATTCAGTACATTTGCTGCTGGACCTCATTTGACCGATTGTGCACTTGCAGACTATCGATTACGCCACAACATTAATGTAGGAAAGATACTCATTTTCACATATTTTCACTATTATTGTACCAATTTAATAGTAGCTTGTTCATTTATACATTTAATAGGTTGGAATGTTAAACAGATACGGCAGAGTCCATAAAAGTCATTACAGTCCATGGATTACTCAAACAATTTGTCGGCTACAATCAGAGCTCAACATTCCTGATAAGGCCGGGGCAGCAAATGCGCTTGTTGTTAAATATGCTTTGTACATGCGCATGTCGGACGAGACTTTCGGTATTGCCGGTTTCCCAAGCGACGTTGCCAGTATATTAAACATCGACAAAGTTGACCACCAAGCAGTTGCACTTAATAATATAGCTGCCCGAAAAGATCCATTATTGCCTCAGAAACTTAGCACGCAGCTGATATTTCCTGATGGGTCCACAAGCAAAAAAAAGGACGACTGTATACTTTCATTGCTTCACGGCTCGGCACAAAGTATGCTGTAACTCCCGTGCACACCCAAGAGGAGTTCACATTGTTTCAGAGATTCATGCAATCGTTAAATGGTGCTGAGCCAAAACGGTCCGATTGGATGCGTTTTAGCCAGTTATGGAATCAAAGCAACAATACAAACGGTGAAAATATAGTTTACAAAACGCCAGAAAGCCTCAAAACCCACTACAACGTATGGAAAGCAGCAAAGACAGCCAGAGATACCAAAAAGCAAAACAGCACAGTAGTCGACACGATGGCTGAAATTCTGCAATCACCAAGTCGAAACGTTGATGATCCACCACCAGCTCTATCTTGACCAATGAACCAGCACCAGCAGAAGTAACAGTATCTGATATCAACACGTTTTTGTTGTCCCCACCAATACTCCGTCTATATGAGTAATCTATAGCAGCTGACAATCAAGCTCAACAAGTCTCGCTTTCCTCCAATGCAACAGCTACTACTTTTATCGCCACCAGTGATACACATGAACGCGTCTCTTCTAATCTTCCTCCTCCACAACAACAAACATATAGTGCAATACTATACAGGCACTCAACAATATGCGGCATTCTGCTACCCCTCGGCGACGTGGTCGTCCGCGAAGGCAACAAGTAAGCTCGAGACAGTGGCAGCAGCCTTATCTACAAGTACGCCAAATCGCGCCAGTGCCAAATGCTTTACCGTCTGCTTCACCTGCTAGTATATTGTGTGGATTACCCAAAGGAAGAACAAGAAACCGCAAGTAGATTATATACCTCTCTAGGCTCCCAAAATATATATATAGCTACCGGTTTTCTTTATCTTATAATTCAAAAGCAATTGATTCGTTATCATCTGTTAACTTACCACATCGATCCATAGCCTTTCCTTAATCTCTCTCTGTCTGTCTCTATCTCTTTACAACAAAGTTTTACAAGTTCATATAAATATATATCCATTTATTAGCTTTTGAGGATACAGTATAGTCTACTCTTTATATATTCTTGATCAACGCGATGCTTATGCGCAGTAGATGCATATGTATATATTTCTGTGAGTGACAGCCAAATCAGTTCACTATATATACTTCTCAGAAATAAAAGAATTAATTCGGCTAAGCCCAGACTTGTCCATGGTGCCAAAATTTGCACAGCCATCATAAATATAAGGCCCCGCCAATCCTGTATATGTGTGGAGCGCGCGGTCTTTTTGCTGAAAGTGCCTAGACAAAATAGTGTTCTCTGTTCACCTTTCAATCTTTTCCCCCTTTTCCCGCAATCACACAATATGGGTTTAAGTTTCTCTAAGCTCTTTGATCTCTTCGGCAAGAAAGAGATGCGCATTCTGATGGTGGGTCTTGATGCCGCCGGTAAGACCACCATCTTATACAAGCTCAAGTTGGGCGAAATCGTCACCACCATTCCTACCATCGGTAAATACTTGTTTCTTTTTTTCATCTCGTTTCTTTTCTTTATGGTCACGTTTCCTTTATTGACTGAACCGCTCATACATCTTTGTTGGAATTAGGTTTCAACGTGGAAACTGTCGAGTACAAGAACATCTCGTTCACCGTGTGGGATGTCGGAGGACAGGACAAAATCCGACCTTTGTGGAGACATTGCAAGTATCAAATAAATTCTTAGAACGTGAGAGAGAAAAAAGGGTAGAAGGAGCAACAGAGTACAAGTGTATACATTCGTATGATGTGTGCATGTTTCGATTGTAGCTGCCACAATACTATACATATAGCAAGTGTATAGTTACTTGATGGCGCTACGTATACACATGCACAGACACACATACGCATATAAAAATGGAGAGAGAGAGAGGGAAGATGAAAAAGAAGACAGAAGGGTCTGGTACTAATACAACAATTGTGCTGGTATTGCTTTAACAGATTTCCAAAATACTCAAGGTATCATCTTTGTTGTCGACTCGAACGATCGCGACCGTGTGTCGGAAGCCCGCGATGAACTTCAGCGCATGTTGAACGAAGACGAACTGCGTGATGCACTTTTGCTTGTGTTTGCCAACAAGCAGGATCTGCCCAATGCCATGAACGCAGCTGAAATCACGGACAAACTGGGTCTCCACTCTTTGCGCAATAGACACTGGTACATTCAGACCACCTGTGCAACCAGCGGTAAGTTTCACGTTCTTTCGTCCACGTTATTTGGATTCTTTCCCTCTGTTAGTGGATTATACTAAATGGAACTTGACAATAGGTGATGGTCTCTATGAGGGCTTGGAATGGCTGTCAAACAACTTGAAGAGAAGACAGTAAACATTGGGGGAACAGAACAGACAAGAAGAGGAAAAGTAGGATAAGCAAGAGCCAAGTAATGCGTGAGAGGGAGAGAGAGAGTAAAAAGGATAAGAGCATATCTTACTTGACGAACAAGCAGCAATAGCCCTTGATACTCTCGGGTCTCTCTCTCTGTGTGTGTATCTCTCTCGAAAACTCTTCCATGAACCCTTCATTTACTAGCAATCTCTCTACTATTTTCTCTATTTCTCTTTCTTTTCTCTTCTCCTTTTGCTGTTTTACTATATATACAAATATAAACTTTTCTACGGATATATAACCAACCCAACGCCACTATTGACTAGCCTATATTTGTGTTTGACAAGCTGAAACGTACATGATCGTATTGCTGGCCACTGAACCGAATTGGGCCAAATTCCATTGACTAACTGCGACTGCCACACGTGGAGATGAATAGCATGGGCTGTGCTGTTCTGTGCTGTGCTGTGCTGTGCGGTCAATAAGGCTCGAGCGGATAAATGCTCTCTATTCTTTTTGTGGTGATTAAACTAAACTCTTCTTCCCTTCCTTCCTTTGTCCTTCCCTTTTCCTTTCTTTCTTTCTCTCCTCCTCCCTTCTCTTTACCTTTTTTACATTTATCCAAATTATGGAAAACAAGGTGGCCCAATCGGCCGCTGACCTCGATACGGCTCGTTGCCGTGGTGACTGGTCATCTATACCCCAACTCGCTCAGAGATATAAAAAGTACCATCCCGATGAAACAGGTAAGGGAGAAGCATGAAATTTTTGATTGAGTATTGCATATACTACGCAAACAGAAAGAATTCGTATCGTTTCATGTACCCAACCATTGGTGTGCCAACCAAAACCATACCCATTGATATGCTCTTTAGTATTGGACGCTACTGCGTGCATTGAGGCCGAACTCGTCGACCAGATACAAAGTACGCGTCAACGCACAGCAACTGCCCAAGAACACGCCAACGACACTCCCGACTCGATCCACAATTCACCTTCACTCAATTCACTTCAATCGCAGTCCTTTGCTCGGCGCATTCAAGACATTATTCGAGGAAAGAAAGCTAATTTAGATTTGCCGGATGATCGTCAGGCACAGGTAACAAAAAAAAAAAGAAAGACAAGCAAAAAATTGGACCGTGCCCTTGTAACCACTACGAACGTGCTCCTTCCCTGCCTTACCCTCCACCCATACACACCCAATCAACTATTTGTTATTGTCTCCCGCGTAAAATTACACATACACAAGCTCTCACAAACGAGCTTAGCGGGGTACCTTCAAAATCCTCTTTTCTTTTCACTTCTCTTCCTTTCCTCCAAAAAAAAATTGCATACGTCAAATGGTTACACAAGCGCTAAACCTTTCTTCATGTTTTCTACTTGTTGTATACTGGTTATGATAGTTTACAAAGATCATTTTGGCACGCATTTATTTCGAATCAGGCGATTACGACAAAGCGCTTGAATCATTGCAGAACTTAGCTTTACGGATAGAAGACGCTACATCAGGTTATGGATTGGTATTACTTGTGCAAGCGCGTGCTATCAAAGGTAGTAATTATATATGAAAAATGGCTGAAGGATTGTAACAAGTGACTCTTGGGAGCGTGGGAGGGTTTGACAGAAAAGCAGCATAAGTATTAGAACTCACGTGTCTCGCCCATATACAGGCATATGTTATGAAAAGCAGAACAACATCACAGCGGCGATCGATGCTTTTTCAACAGCCTGGGATGTAGTAGAGCAACATCTCAAGGCCAAAAGCGAAATGCTGTGGTACTGGATGGAAGAGTGTCTTTACCATGGCATTCTACTGCAATTGCGTGTCAGGTAATGTATTTCTATTAAGCCTTTGCATTCTAAAGCATGCAGCCTTAAACGTAACTTGTTAGATCCTCACCATTACGATTGATGCGAGCTTATTTGAAACTTGCCAATTCATACTGGTCTAAACATTGGCGTACATGTAAACAATGGGTTGTATTCTGTTTGTCCGCGCGCCACGTTGCCAAAATCGATGGATTGAATAACGATAGTGACATTGTTTCAAGGTAAATGAAAAAAAAGGAGGCTGTCGATCCGGGATTGGGGTTGTGTGTCTGTGTAACCCTAAAAAAAGCTTGTTGGCTTGATGCTGAATACAACTTTCATGTGACAGTCTGAGCGACCTAGACGACCTTATACCCGTAATGGATATCTTGCGCAAGCTTTTCAGGTCTCTTGCATCGGTGTGCACTACAACCGAATTGAATCAGCGAACGGTCGAACTAGCCAATCTAACTGCCCAAGTGCATGATCGTGTGGGTTGGGGTGATGCCCGGCATCTTCGGCGTGTTCTTCGTGTAAAGTATCAGCATATGTTTTGTAATTCGTTGAGTTACAACTCGAACTGGCTCTGACCGCTTAACAAAAATGTCACGATATTATTTAGTTTCTGTATCAGGCAAAAGAACATACGTTCAACAGTGCCGATATCACTCGCCACTTGCTGTTCACTTTGATGCGCCTGGGTGACTTTGATGAAGCCAAACATACGTTTGTATCCTATATGGATTTGGTGGGTGCCAGTGATATCACATACACCGATGAACCGAGACAATATGAGGCATCCCACGTCTTGCGACGCATGGGACTTGTCAATGAAACCGCAGTGCAGTTGCTTTCAGTCTTGCTAATTGGAGCAGAGCTGTATGGCAAAATCTACAGCAATGGGAAAATAGCCACGATTATCATGCACCTGGCATTGGACGTGGTGGAAGAATTAGACGAAGAAGATGACTTGAGCGAAATGGTCGCGCGCACATATCGAGTCCACGGTGCCGCTTGTGGCGTTTATGCTCGCCAATGTAAGTTATACTGCTGCTTGCCTTATTACATTAGGGGTGTGTGTCAAATCAGCTTCTAATATAGCTCGCTTTTGGATATTTTAGGTGATGATCCAGATACACGTTCAGAATATCATAACAAGGCGATTAAATCTTTGATCAAAGCCGTACGCCTTCAAGAAGAAGAATTAGGCTCATCATCAGCAACGGCATCATGGCAATCATATTATGAACTTGCTGTCGAACAAGCTATCACACGCAATTTGCACGACGCTGCTAGCTCTACGAGCAAATCGATCCAACTCGAGCCTAACCATCTAGCATCATGGCACCTTTTGGCCTTGATTTATTCATGTCAAGAAAACAAGGAACCGCAAGCCCTTCAAACGCTTGAGGCTGGTTTGAATACGTCGACGACCTTGTTGACCGAGTATAGTACTGTAACGGCAGGTGCAGCGCCAGTCATGTCGTGGAACAAGAACGAAAAGTCTATGGCACAGTACGTCAGTTTGGCAGAGAGTCATCTGGCCGTTTCCATGACTCAGGTGCAACTTTTGGAAAAGTTGGAAGGACCTGAAGCTGTTTTGGACCTATATACAGATCTCTTTTCGATGTATGCCAAGTTGGCTACTCATTTGCTGAAAAATGATGACGATATGTTGCAGGCAACAACAGCAGAAGTAGAAACAGGTGTAGTAGGCGACCCTGCTGCTGCAACAGCGAATGGAAGGCATAACTCCATGTCTTCATCCAGACGAACCTCACGTTCGCATTCATTGTCCAATGCTGATCCTCGTCGACGATCGAATAGCACTTCCGCCAACCACCGCCGTCCAAGTGAGCTCAACGGCAACACATCGGATGTCCCTCCTGTTTCGCCGTCAGCAAATACCAACTTGCCACCGCGCCGCATGAAGACCAGCAGCAGCGATGAGATTCGTAGCGATCGTCGAGGCAGTGATGTAGTGCGCAATCGATCGTCGTCAATCAGCAGAGAAAGCAAGTCGATTCGCAAGAAGAGTATGCAACTGATTGATATGGGATTTGCTCGACGAATGGGCAGCACACAGCAATCAACCAAGCAATTTTCTTCTGGTTCCACCTTGTATGATGGTAAAACTAAGCTCATTTCTTTTATATTTTTCTCGTTCAAAGAAACAAAACTAATCCACATTTTTTTTAGAACGATCCACGTCCAGTTCAGAAGCATCTTCAGCGACGCTCATGTCCTTGTTGACACCTTCCTTCTCCGCAGCAAGTATGGGTGCTGCTGAAAGACGGCCTTCTAACACGACCGCCACTATCAGCTCCATCATCGACAAGCCCACGCACTTTTACACTCGATACCAGCGCGACCGTTGGTACCATCTACTCGTAAAACTCTGGCTCATGTCCACGACAACATTCATCCGCGCCGGCCGCCTCGAAGAAGCCACCAAAGCAATTGTCGAAGCGGAGCAGCAGTTGCTTGTGGGTCAAATGAACGATGCCAGTGTCTGGTACCAACTCGGCCTGGTTTGCATTCAAAAAGCAAAGAAGGTAGCAACGACGGTGGATCAAGCCAAATTGCACGATACCGGATTGGATGCATTCAAAAAGGCGCTGGCCATTGATCCAGATCATATTGAGGCACTGGTTGCCATGGCACGCTGTTTCATTGATATGGAAGAATGGGAGTTGGCCGAAGGCTTGTTGGATCGCGCTACCCGTGGATACGGCTGGGATAATGCCGAGGCTTGGTATTGTCTGGGCATCTGTTACCGCCATGCACATAATTTGGAACAGGCCAAGAATTGCTTCCAGTACGCCGTCGAGCTGAGCGAGACTACGCCTTTGCAGTCCTTCTCGCAATTGCCTCGTTTCGTACAATAGTAATCATCATAATCATACAACAACTTTAGTCATTTATCATCCACCAATCCCTTCCGATGTCCTCCATGAAATCTCAGGGCTATTATAACACACACATTTTTGGATCCAATCTCTCCCTAATCTATCATCGTTCACCTTGGTGTTTTATGTTCGAGAAAACAAGATAAAATAAAATACACAGATAACCAGCCATCAATTTTCTTTTTCATGAAATAATGAGTAGGATTGATTGGACTAAGAATGCTTTTTCTAATAAGGATATATGCATTTGCTTTTTCGAAAAGGATATCAAGGCCAATTTATGGTATCACCATCAATGTCTGGCCATTTTTTGCTGGATTGCCGTTGCCCATTGTCTCTACTGACGAACTTTGGCATATTTCGGATATTGGCCTACATTAAACAACTCAATTTAGCCTTTACGAAAATAGCGACACAAGTTCCATGTACATAATGTAGATCGTACCTGATTCCCTGTACTGTCAATACTATCACTAGTATTCGTTGTCATTGAAGGTGGGAGCATAGGCATACGTAATAAAGCTTCGCGCCATTTTTGCTGTATGAAATACAAAGAAGTGGGTCAATATCACGTCTACTTGACCTCTGTGTGCGCAAAAAAAAAAATATGTCGTATCTTTTACCTTTGCCACCTCTTTTGCTACTCGTTCAGCCTCTTCTGCTCGTTTTCGAACGGCATTGATCAATTCATACCGCTGCTCACGTTCTTCCCACAATTGCTTTTGTTGAAGGTATTCAGAATGATCGTTTAACGCCTGTTGTTCATTAACTTGTTGCAGTCGATCGCGTTGTTCTGCATGCTGCTGACGACGTGCTTTTCGTGCAGCAAGCTTACGTTCTTTGCGATATTGTCGACGCGGAATGCGTTTTAAATGCTGTTGTCCATCTTTTGTTACCGCCTCCTCATGGGGTTCAGTTGGCATGAGTTTTTTTTTTTTTGGAAAAAAAAAATACAAGTCGGGAAGATGGGAGCGCACGCAGGGATTGGCTGACAAAAGAAAAGAGCGCATTGACCAGGAGCTACAGACTGCATATCATATTTTATCAAAACTTCGAGGAAAGTAACAATACAGGTGGAACAAGAATCAGGTGACCGCAACTGTAGAAGTGGCATGCTCCTAGTACACATTTGTAGACGGTGCCTCATTTTGACTCTTAAGCTTAATTGAAGCAAACCATATGAGCAAAGAGGAGGAGGGAAACACCGTCTAATGAAGTGGAATCTCTGGCTAGTTCTTTCAAAAATATTTAACGGCTTTTGGAAAGTTTCTACGGTCTCCCTCTCTTCCATAACGATGCGTCGAAAAGTGACACATGCTTGATGAAGTCTTAATTGAGCAAAGGTGGGCATGGTGAATTAATGCTATTAAAGAAATGCAGGTCTCGCCTATCATATGTATGGTGCATTTCGTCTGTAATCGCCAAAACTTCATTTTGTTTCAATTTTTCAACTTTTAAAATTCAGATTCTTTATTCGGTAATATGTGTAACGTGTTAATAGTGAATGGCAATTCTGTGATGTGAAGTATACTCTCTTGAAGAAAACTTTTCTTTTCTGGGTATATCCTACGAATATCCCTAAACAATTTCCCAATCATAAGGGATTGTCTCCTCTTCCATTGTTGTTTGAATTGCCTCGTTCAATGTGGTTCCAGTGACGATAATACGACCATTATCATTACATTGCTTTTTCTTAGCAGCCTTTTGGTGCTATTTGGGGAGCCATGGTAAAACAGTATAGAGAGTGAGGGAAAGCAAATCTCGAACATGATTGGCTGATAGCTATTCACACGTGACCGTAAAAACCCTGACGCGCTTGTGCAACATGTTTCAAATCGCATTCTTCCCTGCTAAATATCTGAAAATTGCCTTTGACCGACCATCTTTGACAGCTATCAACTTTTTTTTAAAACTTTTTTTGCAACTTCTAAACTTCAATAACTATTCTTTACATGCCTAAAGTGTTTATTAAAGTATAGATTTGAAATATAATGACTTAGGGTAAAGTAGATAGATCTCAAATTTGGAAGAAATTATTGGCGATTACAGATGAAATGCACCATATAAAGTTTACAGAAACAAATTGTATTGCCTATGCTACAAACTGTTAATGGTAAATAGTTGGAAGTTGAACTATGCGTTGGTGTTTGATAAATTAGCAATTTATGATACATATGTTCTAGTTTTATAAGGACATAACTGTAACTTGATTCATATAATAGCAGGTTTATTTCTTATAATATGTAAGTAACTTGTGCATTCCTACAAATGTTAGTAAGCTTTTGTCCGTGGTAACGATAGCCCTCTGATTTTTTTTGTCTTTCTTTTTTTCTTCAATTAATTTTTTTCTCTAACTACATAATATTCTGATTCATGGGATTCGTCTGTGGCAGTTGTTACGGTCTTTTACGTCTTGATAATTGTCGTCTTCACTAGCTTGAGGTACATGATATTTGTGTGATTTGCTTGTTGGTATCTTCGGTCCTTTTTGGTGTGTTATCATGTCGTGTTAATTTTGCATTCGATTATGTATGTCGATCTGGTTTTTTTTTTCTTTTTTTTTTCGCGCAGCCTTCGCTAAATGCTCTGTTGTCTTGAGCTCGACGCGAATGATATGGAGGCCGTTGAAGGCGATAATAGACTGTGCTTGTGGATTTGTATCGATGATGATCCTCAGCGCTGTATTTTGTCTCTAAATATCAATAAGCCTTTCACGTTAGTTATCAATGTCTTCATCTCAAGTGAATCCGTGTGACTTATTTGTACTTACTGCTGATTATTTACACCATATAATTGCCCCAGTCTTGCTTTTCAGTCTGGTAGTGGAATTGACTGCAATTTGATATCGCTTGGTTTGTTTTGTATGTGATGCTCTGTGTCTTGTGTAGACTTCATCTTTTCTTCGCACTGATATAAATTGCTGCTGTTGTTGCATGTGTTAGCTTTTGATGCGATGTTGATCGGGTATGTGGTGCGGTCGTAAGCAAATTTGCTTAAGGTGATATGTAAGACACCCACCGACTTGTTGACGTTTTCTTGGTGCCGTATTGTACGAAAGGCAGTGATGATTTTTTTTCCTGACATTTGTTTCTGACTTTTTGTTGCCTTGAATTTCGCTACTTTTGCTTTCCGTCGTCACAGACCGCGTGATGCTTGGTGTTGTTTTTAGATTCTCTCTAATCTACTACTAATCTAATTCCTGATTTTCTTTTCTTTTCTTTTTTTTCTTCTTTTTGTTACTTGTATTTTGGGGGGCTATCGTTACCTGGACCGTAACTTACCAACGCTTTGTCAGAAGAGATTTCTTGGCTGGGTAGAATATGTCGAATTTTTCGTTGCATAAATAGCGGCGTTCACTAACGATATGATTGTAGCAAAGTCACAATGAGCAGATAATTTTACAAAAGCATGAATGATCAATTGTTTCTCTTGGTTTTGCTTCTTACCATGATACAGCAATGTATGCTTCTTCTGTTGCGATTTCCAAGGTAGTGTGACCATGAAATTGTATTGTCTCCATATATACTAATGACTGTCCTTGTAGCTAACGCTTGATATAGAAGAAATGACAGAAAGCCTCCCTTGTTTGCTGCGTGCCATCCATTGATTTGTCATGGATACACATGCACGATGCCTTCCTTAAGGTAGTATCATCGAGTAGTCATGTCGCCCACCGCTTTTACTAAAAGATTAATCGATCAAAAATACACGCATCAATGCTAATGGCTTCATATTTCCCGCTCCAGACTCATATCATGTAAATTCAAATTACCTTAAAAGTTCTCTCCTATCAACGGTCAAGCTGCTGCCATAAACAATATGTGTGTGCGAATGTCAATAATGCGCAGTTCTTGAATATATGTCCCGTGCGACAGGAGCCATCGACTGATTCTCTCGTCGAGTAGCATTTATCGGTTGTGCGACCAGTGTCTTCAACGTGAGCTCGCCAGCATGCATTCGAAAGTCGGATACGGATAGTGCCGCCATTATTGCGTCTACGCAATGCCGTCGGATCCCTCTGGTAATAATGTGCCCCTTGTTGATAGTGACCTTTAGACGCAGTGTTTGCTTGATGCGTCTTGGACAGGTGTGCTTCTCGTTCCTTCTTTTGTCCCCATTGCTGCTTCACCACTAAAGCAGAAATGAAACCGCCACGATAATATCATACTGCTCCATCAAATAGCCGTGTCCCGTGTGCATCGTTGTCCTTGATATTCTTTGCCCGCCCATGTCGATGAGTTTGGTTTGTTGTTTTTCATGAGCAATTTTCAGATTGTTCGCAATCTTTCCCCCCTAAGAAGAAATTGAATGTAAGAATCACATTTTGCCCGACTTGATATTGTTAAGATAGAACTTACTATATGCTTTGCATCCACCTAGCGTTTGAAGTGTTGTCATTTAAATATGTCTCCTCGTATCTTGTCGCCAATTCTTCCCGTGGTACAGCTTGGATCGTGTTGCCACCATAATGCACGCTGTTTACCAGGGGCTGTCGATAAAATGATACTTGTTCACATGGGCAGATGCATAGGGTTACGATGTGATATCTCTTGGTCCAGTGTCAAACAGTCGCATGTGTGGCGCTCCATAGATGCTTTGTTGCCAGTATTGATTGTCAGATGTGTTGCATTGCCACCGTGCTTCATTGCCGCGATGGCCTCCTGTGCTTGGTTGCTACCACACCCGAAGCGATAATAAATTTGCTCCAATGATTCCTGGTAGAATTTTCTTTGTCGCCAAGAAGAGTTGCCACCTTGTAGATAAAAAGCTGTTGAGCCAGCTTGAATAGTTGCCATGCGTGCTGCTATCCAGTTTTTACTGTTTGTCTTTTGCGCTCAATTGCCACCATAATAGAAGTCGCCAGTCTTTCTGCTTTGGTGCCGTCTGATAGAAATGATGAAGACGCATTCGAATGGCCGTCCATTGCCCGATGTTGTCCCCATATTGAAAGCTGACAATGCCAATGTCGTCTTTTTGTCGCCATGCTGCTGTCTCCACAAGTCTCCTCGTCGTAAACCGAGATAGATGAGGATTGTTTTCATCTCCTTGACTTGACGTTGACTGATTTGAATAGTTGTAATGAGTGTTGCCGTCACATTACACCTTGTGATTCTGAACGGATTGAATTGTCGTATGCATTGTTGCAGTTTTTGTCGCTGAAGTATCTTGCTCCATGTGGCCATCATAGGTAGCGATGGACACTGTTTGTCGATACGATGTTTGCCGCTGCTCCTTTTGTTGCCGCTTTCTCTTTGGGGTTTCACCACAAAAGTAGGGATGGTTAATGATGATGACGATGATCGTGCCTTGATGTGAAACCATCCCACATATTTGCCCGCATGCTTGGTGAATTGATCCGTCTACGGCCACACAGTTTGAAATTTTTGACCAGCTTGAAATGTTTGATCAGCTTGCATATTCCTCGTAAAGATGTGCGATAAGTGATTCATTGCTGCTGCGTCTGAGTATGACTCGCCCATAATTATATGTCGCCTTTTCCGCCTGTCACTTGTCGTCCGCTGAAAACAGTTGATGCCAAAGGCTGTCCACCACGACTTGCACTTGGTCCGCCTATGGACGTGTTAAATGCATGCAATTTTCTGCCCAGAAGGGGAAGTGCCTTATTGGATCACTTGAGAACAGATATCCGCACCCGCTTGAAGAGCCCTTGTCGCCATAGCATTACCAGTAGACAATATACTTGCTCCTTCCACACTGGGAATATTCAATCCGAGTTAGAACGTCGAATGTAGTTGTTGCCTGGACCAACGGGAAGAAAACCAGAGGGTGCCGACGATTGGATAATGCTGATCGATCTTGATAGTCTATCGCCAAAAGACTGATCAAGCCAAAGACGGGATTCTGCCAATCCTCGAATCGACATCAAGTAAAAGAGGTTGTTTTTACTCGGCTAGCCTGGAAATCTGACGCCACCTGTAGCAGCATAACCATCATGGATCATCCACCAAGACCACACGAGACGACGTGATCAAGCCAAAGACGGGATTCTCACAACACCCCGAATTTTTACTCGGCTAGCCTGGAAAGCTGACGCTCTCCATCGCGGCGTACCACCCACACCGCTGGCCTGACACCCCAACCCGGACACCCCAGCTTCACGGAATCCGGAGGCAAAGGTGAAGGCTGAGGCTGGACTAACATGGCTGTGGCACTGACTACAACCGGTGGAGGATCCAGGGTATGGAAAGGGCGAGGATAACTCCGGTTGAGCTTTCGGTGGCAGGGATTGGGTGAGCAACATTGCTCCGGTTGCCAGGGCTTACGCAGGAACACCATCACATGAACTGGAACTGACTGGGATGACAACCTTGGGAAAGGAATAAATTCCTATACTGGGCCCCTCTTCGCCTTCTCCACACCACATCCGTGTCGAATGCGATACGAAGAAGGGAAGAAGGATAGAAGGAAAGGATATATCAGTTAGTAAGCCTCTTCTTATCAAATGGCCGTAGGTATCAAAGAAAGCATAGTATGTACCGTAGTCATACAAGCATGACACCTTGGGTTGTCATTTGCTGTCAAGAACCGCCGCTGTACATGTGCTCGATGTGGATTCCTGCTGCCTACACAACCAGAGCGTTGCTCACCTCCCCACCACCGGCTCAACTGGAGTTGTCCCCATGTGCCCCCTCCAACCCCTTCACCCCCGGTGGCTGCAGCCAGTGCCGGCGCCAATGCCAGCCCCAACCGCCTTTACCTCAAGAAACCATCCACTGAGATGTCCGGGCCGCACCCCATCGCCTGACGAAGGCGGATACCGCCAGACACACCGAAAACACGCCGCATGCGCTCTATTTGAAATAAAAACAGTAAACTCATCAGCATCAGTACTGTATGCATCTCGCTCAAGCAACACTGCTGAGACACTTACCCCAACCAAGCACACACGCGCAACCATAAACATCGCCTGATGCAGGCGTACACGACAACGCCAAGCACGGCACCAGAGGAAAAGAAAAAAACATGCGGAAATGAAGAGACAGCGACACAAACAGGCGGATTCAAAGTGGGCGACACCAGGAAAGGGAAAGGGGAGAGACCAAAGGAACGGAGAGAAACAAGCACACAGACAGAACAAATGCCTAAAGAAGGCCAACTAAAAAGGACATTGCAATTAGCATCAATCTGGGGCAATACGAAAGCACTCGACAGCGAATTAAAAGAGGATGTAGCCACTTACACGCCGACAAGACCTGCTCCATCTCGGAGACTCGGTCGATGTCTCCACGAGCAGCCTGCAGCAGACCAGCGAAGAGCGCCTCATCGTCGCCAGTCTCGAGGAGACGCTGCAACTCCTCATACTCTTCCAACGTGACACCCAAGTTTGCTGCCATCATTGCAGCGAACTCTGCACCTTCTTCTTCGTCGTCACCTTCTTCGTCGTCGTCGTCGTCTTCGTCTTCGTCATCATCATCTTCTTCGTCGTCTTCCTCGGTGCGCACGTCGTCGTCTTCTTCTTCGTCGTCGTCGTCTTCCATGCTCTCCGGGCCGCAAACGACAGGAACGTGAGCCATTGGCTCCGGCGCGACGACGGACATGGGGGTGTTGGCGAGGGCGAAAGTGGTGGATGCAGCGATAGGACAGGAAGAGACGGAAGGGAAGAATAGCTGCAAGGTGTTGCGCTGGCGGATGTGGCGGTGGTGGCGGCGACGGGTGGAGCTGAGGAGGTGCGCAGAAGGATAGGGACGGGAACGGACTTGTTGATGAGGACGGTGGTGGCGGTGGGTTGAAGGAGCGACTGTGGGGACGAACGGAACGGAAGGAGCGAACAGCGGCAAGTAGTGGTGGTGACGGTGACGGTGGCGGATTTCACGGTGGCGGGTGTGATGACGAGGTGCGCGGAAGGATGCAAGGACTGTGTGGTTGCGGCGGTGATGGTGGTGGTGTCGATGATGGGGGTGTTGTTGGCGGCGGCGTTGATGGCGGTGGTGTTGACGAGAAGAAGAAACAGGAACAGGAACAGGAGCAGGAACAGGAACAGGAGCAGAAGGAACGGACGGGGCAACGAGCGGCAAGTAATGGTGACGGTGGTGGCGGATTTGATGATCCCGGTGGTGGTGGTGGTGGTGGTGAGGAGCGCGGAACGAAGAAGAAACCGGGTGTTGGCGACGGAGGTGTTGATGATGGCGGTGACGGGGCTGGCGGCGAACGGAGCGCACAGAAACAACAGGCACAGAGGCCTCTTCGTCAAGCGAGACAACCACACCATGGTCCTCAGCAGCAAAATCATCTGCTACTGGCAGCTGCGATGGGAGCTGGTCCAAGGACGCGGAAGAAGGCGACGTCACTGGGGACGGATTACGCACAACTTGGTCAATGGGAGCCTCATCGACAACTGCAAATGAGGGGACGTCGATGCCGTTAGGCACAGCAGGGAGGATATCGACCGCAGGTGGCAACGAAGGCGAGACTGGAAGGCTGGCGTCAGCACCCGAAGGCTGGGCATCATTCTTACGAAGAGCCATTGACTGCACACTCAACTCATCCAGCTGCACAACGTGCACGGGAGCAGGAACAACCACTGCAGGAGCCGCCACTACAGCAAGCTCTCGAGCGCCGGCCTCATTCAGGCCCATGGCGGGACGCGTCTCACGGCAACGGTATTCGCCCAAAGGCAGAAACAAACTGAATGTCGCGGGCAGCAACAACGACAGGAAACCGGACGACGCAGACAACGACGGCAGCAACAGGAAAGAAAAAAAGGGAATTGTCGCGGCAATTAGCCAACGACAGGCGATATACGCTAAAGCGATTGGATACATCAGCAGTGCACACAGGGCATAAGACAAGGGCTTATCGGTTTCTGACATTTTGGAATGTAGATGCTGGTAAAGAAGAAAAAAGGAGAGCTGGAAACTACCTTTCTTTTATTGTCATGAAAATTTCAAAGGCCGTGACGTCACGCGTTTTTTTCCTTTTTATCGCACACAGTGCGTTCTCTGTAAGCATGCGAGAGCAGTAAAACACACTAGTATTAACGCGTTGGAAGATGCTATGATAGCCTCTTTTTTTGCTACGGCGTCGTTATGGTTGCCTGTGGTTCCCATAGCTGCATATATGTTTCACATTTACGCTGCTCCGCTTGTACTTTCTTTTTTCGCCATGGTCAGTGCGTCTACAGCGAATTAACTGGAGAATATCACCAAAGATTTTATTACCGCGGCAAGAATACAACCAAGGCCTGAGCTAAACATTCGAAGTTCAAGTGCCGCCTGGCCTCCTTGTCAATCAATACTATATAGTCGGTCGTTCAACAGACAATGCAGAACAGAAAAATCCACAAATGTTACATCTTAAGAACACACAACAGGATACGAAGGGAAAAGAAAATACGGCCAAATCGTAGCATACCTCCCTTTGATCCATCCGAAATGAAACTTTTGCTTATATATCAATAAGACAATTAACTTTTCCCACTATTTACACGGCTGAAGTCTATTCCATGAAATGTGGGGAACGCTGTATAGGAGAAAACAACGCCAGTAGCATCTAAATATTATTGGATCAATTAATTCTCCTGTCTCTTGGAATCATTTGCGAAACTGGCTGGCTACTGGACTAACGAGTAAATTCATGACATCAATCAGCCTTCGATGACGTTAATGCTTGGTATATATATTACCTACGATTTCTGGCAATATCATTAACGAGAATGGCTCACAATCGATGTACCTTTGAAGCATCTAATATTGTTACTATACGAAGAATGTATTTTGAAGTATACTTATTATGTAGTTACAACAACCAATATATACCGCGAGGGGACTATATTGTATGCAAGTGATCAATCCGCGCGTCCAATTCTTTCTTCCTCAGCTAAGCTATCATCGTTGTTTAATTATCCCAGACTATTGCCGTGTCCAAAACAATATTGCCAATATACATACAGTATTTCATAATCTTTGACTATTTGAAATTTACGAGCATTGACGTCAATTCATCAGTGTTGTGTCTTTATTTTAGCATTCGTCCATAGATATCTCGATGGTATACTGTAGATATGCAAGCAAATAGAATATGCAATGGCGCAAGACCACAGGACGATGTTGTTAGTGTAGAATTAAAGAAATACAAACATGGTGAATCGACTATATATAACAAAAAACTGAAACTTGAACATTTTAAGGGTGGATGCATGTCCTGGATAGTTAAAACGAAGAGTGAGCATAAACAAAGTAATGGTCAAATCAAATAAGCGGCAAAATAAGTCGAAAGAAAGTAGATTTGAAATACTTCTTGAACCTTTTGAAGAGTTGGCTTGTTTAATTACAGTATACAAGATGTGATTTATTAGTTTTTGCATTTATATTTTAGGACCCATGCGTTACCGGTGAGCTATACTACATTACATATTCCATGAAACAATCCATTGGACATCAAACCAAAATTAACCCGCTTTCACAGGCGAAACCCGGTGAAGTCAACCTCTTGGAAAGCACTTTGTAATAGGGTCCTCATTTTTTGTAAGTATCTTTCTAACATTAACATTAAAGCCTGGAGATCATATATGACCTGCCCTCGTCAAACGTTGATACCTGTTAGGATCGTCAATTTTTTGGTGAACGTGAGGGTTGCGCAAAACGGCAATCGACTTAATACCTTCTTTCGCGATTTTCTCTGTTAATTAAAAGCATCAAACACATCATGTACGTGTTGAGGAACGTGGCATCCGAATATGGTAATAAGAGAGTTTTGGGATTTTGTCAATCAGAAAGCATGATCGATCACTTTTACAAGGTTGTGAAGTCTTTTCATCCTCAAACCAAGTACGTTACATCGTAATGATTAATGCTCTTGGCCGTTGGGAATCTTTGTTTTGAAAAGCTTTTACGACAGTGTCCCAAGCTAGAAGCAATCTACGGTCTCTTCCGTAAGGTCATGATGCTATTCAACAATACGCCAAAGTAAAATCGAATCGTGGTTTTATTCGTTCGAATTGTCATCCCTGAAGTTATATCGATAATAGTGCTATGCGTTAATTTTCTGTTTGAGTCATCTATGACTTATCACCTTCCTGACGGATATAAGAGACATAACCTGTTTAGTAAAATCGGGCCGGCGAGAGCCAACGGTAAGCCAGAAAGGATTAAAAGCGACAGCATCGGCGGTGTATAATTGAGCTTAGTATATCAACAAAAGCTGTTCATGCATATGCTGTAAGCGATAACAACGACATCGCAGGTTATACTGGTTCACCAGAATTGGAAGCTAATTGGGTATTGATATGCTGAAAGCGCCGTGGTTATACGTTGTTAGCTTTTGGTCATTGTCAGTAAATATTCGCAGTGTACTGTATGTAATACTGATGTCATCGTTTTGTCAGCTTGCGAGTCTACTTATTTACTTGGTATAATATTGACGTCAACACCCTTGATTTGTAAGCAAATGCAACATCCATTCTGTATAAAACAAGGGAAAAATTCTTTTCTCTCTATCATTTCCGGAAGAAAAAAGTAACTGCATCCATCACATCTTTGTACTTGACCCAAACAAGAAATTGATTGTAATGGGAGGAAGAGTAGCAATTGTATTCGGCGCCAACGGCATCAGCGGCGTTGCTCTACTGACACAACTTATTCAAGCTCCTGCAAGCGAATGGAGCAAAATCATTGCAATCTCGCGTCGTCCTCCTCAGCTCGAATTCGATGATCCCCGTGTCGTCTTTGCCTCGGTCGACATTCTCAAAGTGTCCGTGCAAGAGTTCGCCAAAATCTTGACCGACCACGGTGCAAAGGAAGCGCAACACGCGTTCCATTACACCTATATTGAAAAGCCTACGGATCAAGAACTTGTAGATGTGAATACGGAACTATTGTCCAAGGCTTTGAACGCGATCGCTGCAGTTAACCCGCCTCGTTTTGAAACATTTGTCCTGCAGACCGGCTACAAGTATTATGGTAATGTTCATGGACCGCCGTATTTGGCCAAGAAACCCTTCCTAGAAGACGCGCCTCGTTCAGACGTTGCGTCAAACTTTTATTATCCCCAAGAAGATTTGACGAAATCGATTTGTCAAGAGCATGAGTGGCGTTGGATCATTTCGCGGCCCAATACGATTTTGGGTGTCAGTAAAGGTAAAACAGAAGGCCATTTGCCGTACTCTTCATTAGCAGGGAGAATATAAAAAATAATACAGAGAAATCAAAAGAACTAAAATAACACCATTTTGTTTTCAAACTTATAGGGAACTTTATGAATTTTGCTGTATCGTTGGCGATATATGCATCTTTGCAGAAATCGTTAGGCAGAAAATTGGGATTTCCGGGTTGCAAAGAGCAGTGGAACGCAAAGAATGATTTTTCCACAGCAACAAACAATGCTGATTTTCAAGTGTGGGCATCACTAAACAAGCAAGCAGGAAACAATGCATTCAACACTGCAGATGGCCCTAAGACTCAAACACGCGATTTGTGGCACAAAATTGCAGAGTAAGTGTCTCAAATTCCAAGTAAACATACTATACAGTTATTACGGCTACGTATATTAAATGTATCATCTGATTATGTATAACAGGTACTTTGGCCTTGAAGTAGTGGCTGATGATGAAGTCGTTAGTTGCAAAAAGTCAAATGATGGTGACGATGTTCGTGGACAAACTTTTAGCTTGAATAACTACATGGAAGAAAACGCGGATTGCTGGCATCAAATTGCCGAAAAGCATAATCTGGATATCAAAGCATTCGATTATGCTACTTGGGCCTTTGTTGGTATGTGCACATTAGAATGTAGCGATAGCAAAAGCAGCAGACTTCATGTGCACTTATACGATCTTATTAACCCTGTATCAATTCTTGCTATTCCAACTCGTAAATTACATGCCATTATAAGATACTATGATGGCACGCGGCTGGGAAGATGATGGCTCTCATGACAAGATGCGCAAATTCGGTTGGAACAAGACTGTGGATAGCATCCAGAGCTTTTACAACATTTTTGACAAACTGAAGGAAATGAATATTATCCCTAAGTAAGAAACACCCCTGCATATATGCTGCAATCGTGAACAGCATTAAACAAGAATAAAACGAAGAGGCTCAACTTGCATAGTACGTGCGTAGTATGTTTGTGTGTATTTGAATTGAGCCAATAATAACATACCACTTCTTGGCCAATACTGTGTGCATTCGTTACGAGAAACTATATGCATGGAACGGTGTAAACTAAAGATGAGGGTGCTGCAAAGGCCACCGGTTAGGAGAAAGCTAAAATCGATTTGACCAATAAAAAGTCAGAAGATCCTACTACACTTTCCCCCGGAATATATACACAGCACACACACGCCATATGATCTGATCCAAGCAGTTGCTATAGTAGTATATATCTGATCGTGGTACCTGACCATGTAGGCGATGCGTGTGTATGTGTACGGTTATGATGCTGTTGCGTGTGATTTATTCCAAGGGCTCGTGCGCTAAATATGTATACGTGCGGATCATCACTCGTTTCTGTATAGCACTCCGCTGGTAAAGCGCGGACATTCTCTCTCGCTTCAACTTTGACTCTCACTACGTCTCTCTCTCTCTCCCTCTTTTAAACCTTCCCTCTCCCTTTTATTTTTATTTTTTAACTCATCGATCATGCAAGTGAATGGACCTTGGTTCACTGAACCAGAAACACAGCGCACAGTTATTTTCCGCGGAATCAACCTGAGCGGTGGCACTAAACTCCCTGTGGGGGTACCTTCTCATGAGCCGAATGGTTTTTGGTTCGATTACGATCGCAAGGTATCTTTTGTCGGCCGACCGTTTCCGCTTGACGAAGCAGATATGCACATGCAACGACTGGTTGACCATGGATTCACTTTATTACGATTCATGGTGACTTGGGAAGCCATCGAGCACGAGGGACCGTATGTTGTTTATTGTTGTCAAATACTATCAAGGCTGCATAAAGCATTTTCAGATTATAAGCTGATCCAGTTTCCCCACCTCCCATCTAGCGGAATTTACGATGAAGATTACCTCGACTATGTCATTGAAATACTCAAAAAATGCAAAGAGTACGGCTTGAAAGTATATTTAAACCCACATCAGGATACGGTAATTATGAGGACCTCTTTGTTATAGTGAATCACATACAAAGTGGCAACAACAAAAAGGATGATGCTATATTTGCTGAATATTGGTTTTTAGTGGTCTCGTCATTGTGGTGGATCAGGGCATCCAGGATGGACGCATACACTTGCTGGCTTGAACCCTCAGCGCTTTACAGCAACCAACGCCGCCATTGTTCACAACGTTCATCCCGAGCCTGAGAAATTTCCCAAGATGATATGGAACACCAATTACCAAAAGCTTGCTGCCGCGACACTATTCACGCTATTTTTTGCGGGGAAAACATATGCTCCGAAATGCATTGTAAACGGCGTCCACGTGCAGGACTATATGCAATCACACTATATCCGTGCTTTTACTGAACTCGCACGGCGGGTGCAAGTAAACGACCTGCAGGGACACGTTGTCATTGGCTATGATACCATGAACGAGCCAGGACAAGGATACATTGGATGGCCAGATATTACGGGACGACCGGCCGAAGATGTTGACTTCAAAAAGGGACTGACTCCTACTCCATTTGAAGGCATGATGTTGGGCACTGGCATCGCCACAGAAGTTGACAATTGGGTATTTACGTGGCGTGGACCCAAGCGCGACGGACGTGTGTTGGTCGATCCACAAGGCGTTCAGGCATGGCTTTCTACCGAAGAATTAAAGACTGCAGATCAAAGTTTCGGTTGGCAGCGGGCAGATGATTGGAAACCCGGGTGTATCTGGGCCAACCACGGGCTCTGGGATCCATATGCTCGGACAGTCATGCGACCTGACTATTTTGTAACCACAGAAAGCTATGCCCACTACTGGCTCAACTTTATCAAGGACTATTCTGATAGCTTGCTGGAGGTCCACCCGGATGCCATCTTGTTTGTCCAGCCGCCCATCATGGAACAGGCACCCAGCATGCCGCCTTCGTTGAAAAAGATGGCTTTGACACCCCATTGGTATGATGGATTGACACTCGTTAAGAAAAAATGGTGCAGCTACAATGTTGACTATATCAATCTCAAACGTGGCAAGTACGGTACCGGTCCTTTACGTTTTGTTCGTGCCTTGCGCCTCGGTGAAAAAGCTATCCGGCAATGTTTTGTAGACCAGATTGAGACGCTCAAGATGGAAGGTCTAGAAACGCTCGGTTCATTTCCGTTCATTATTGGTGAAATTGGTATCCCGTACGACATGGAGCCGGTCAAGCAAAAATCCACAGTGACGGGATGGTTTTCTTGGATGTTTGTCTGGCTATTTGGTCGATTCATGAAAAGGAGCAATAGGAAGAGTAGTAACGGCGGAGCCACCAATAGCAGCTGGTCCTCTAGACGGTCGGTGATGCTCAAAAACAAGGATAACGACACGTATTATCCTATGGGCAGTCCAGAAGCACCTCAGAATAAGGCCATGGATGCCAGTATTCACGCAGCAGAATGTAACTTGGTCAGTTATACATTGTGGAACTATGTACCCGACAACCATCCAAGGTGGGGCGATCTATGGAATGGCGAGGATCTTAGCATCTGGCAAGGCCGAGACAACGCAGCGGCGATAGCATTCAAGGAAGACGTGACAGATGATTCTGACACGAGCAGTGAAACGCTACTCCCTGAAACAGCAACAGACGGCAAACTAAGTGCGATGGCTACTAGCAGCAGCAGCAGTTTTGTTGGCGCAAACGCGGGTGGAGTGAATGTGCGCGACATTATCTCTTTGCACCGTCCACATGCACACAAAATTGGGGGCGTACCGCTCTCAGTCGAGTATGTGTCGCCTACACACAAACAGCGTGCGTCGTTTGTGTTTAGCTATAGAAGCAGTGCAAAGGTCGAGGGACCTACCGAGATTTATGTGCCTATGGTGCATTTCCCATTGCCAGACTCGCCAATGGATCCGAGCCAAGTGCAAATATCCGGTGGTCGATGGAAAGCCCAGACCCACAATGAGAATTACTGGACCCTTTTATGGTGGTGCGACGACGATGAGGCGGATCAGGAGTTGCAGCTTTTGGGTCAAAACATTCAATAATTGGAATGTTCGTGCAGCTTGACGTGTGTGTGTGACAGGTTTTGTTGGTCACTGCCACACTATTGTTACTCCCTCGTAGCAAGCGCAAAAGCTAACCATGCAGCATCATGCAGCAGTGGCAGCAAATGTACAATACCACACAATATACCGACATATACCATTACTATTATTATCATCATCGCTATCCCCTATTCTTCTGTTCTTTCGATCACACTGTTCCCTTTCCCCCTTTTGTCTATAGATCCAAACAAACTGTAATATGACTCTTTTTCATTAATAAACACACATACAGCATGACAAATTTCAATTTCGACGACTGTTTTATCACGACAAATTACTAGAACAGTAGTATAAGCAGTAGCATCGGTAGCACCAAAAACTGTGAAACCTATCCTTTTTTTTTGTCCTTTTGTTGTGTCACGCATCTACAGTGTTCTCCGATAGTCATTCTTTATATAGCCTGCAATAGTAACTTTGCGTTATCAAACAGTGCTCCCTTTCTTCTACTTCCTTCTTATCTTATTTTCTACTGTAAGCAAGCAATGGCCATTCAATGATTACACTCTTAATCCTCAATAATTCCGGAGACGTAATATATCAATCAACCCAAAAACACCAACCGAGCGAAGGAAGCAAAATACGCTACTTGCCTCTATTATTGACCAAAGACCTACTCAAAGCCAACTTCCACGACCGCATACAATATCTTCATACTCGAAACAAGACAATCACCTTTTTAGAGGTACTATAAACACTTACGAAACACTTACTTACACACACATGTGGTTCAGTTTGCCGTTTTTTCTCTGTTACTCAATCGTACAATAATAATTACAGAAACATGGCTTACTGTACATTGCATGGACACAACGAGCAAGCATTCCAGTCAATCTGGTACACCAACATCTTTTCGTTATCGATCGACTCCTAAGATTCCATTTTGGACCGCAATGGCATATGCGTGTAGAAAATATATCTGCGTCCAGAGGTGGTAGATATAACAACCACCATGGTCACCGACGTCAACATCAAGAAATATCCTTAGCTCAAGTGTCAGCATGCATCGAGCGACTGTCATTGATAAGCACGCAACCACTATATTCGCCGGATATGCTGTGCTCTGTCGAACAGGTTGAGCTGCATGATGATCTACGTAACCGACTAGCACAGACGCTGCGCCAGTGCTGCGACATGGCGTTTTCATTTTCACCCGCGCCAGCAACACGCTTCACATCATTTTTTGCAACACCGCCAAGGATTCACCCATCATCGCGGTCTTCTTCTTCTCAACAGCATCAGGATCATCATCGTCGAACAAATAGTTTCCAATATCATCATGAAGGAGGAACCCCTGTGGGATCGTTGATGTGGTCGGATGCGTTCTTGTTTGCGAAGAACAAAATTGTCGTACGGTGTGCCAAGTCTGAGATTGATGAGCTGATGGAAGAAGATCTACCGCACGAGGTGTTGTTTTACTTGTGCAATATGGCAGCCGAGTATGCAGATCAGGCTACGGCCAGAGAAGGTACTTACACCACAAAGATGTCAAGATCTGATCCGTTATGTTGGCAAAGCAACCGTGTTTACTGATAGGGTTTTTGTTTCACGCCGTTCTTTCACAGATCTTGCAGGAAAACGACATGTTTTACACGCACCAAGTCGGTCACAAAACATTTTAGAATCAAGGTAAGATAAGTCGACAGAGGGCAGGTGCAGGGGAAACGGACAGTACGGAACTACTGGGAGAGAGGGGTGGTGGGATGGGTAAAAGAACGAAATAAGGTTTTTTTTTCTTCTTGTGCGATGGTCTCATAGATGATGAAATTTAAGCTATTCTGCGGACAGCATCCACAAGCCCGTTTATGCAACCTCATCCGATTCCACGCCAACTCCGCAGGCTTCATCTTCCGAAGCAACTGGTAGCCAGAAATCTTCCGTAACCTACGTCTACGACTCCTCCTCAATCTCGGCCCCGTTCAAAGTCAAGGAAAAGTCTGCCTCGTCTGTCACTGTCGCCTCATCCAACTGCTCGACACCCTCTTTATCTTGGAGCAGTCCGCCTCCTTTGGTTCACAACCAGCTTTTAACGCGACTGACTCGACGTAGTGGCGAGCATCATCATCAACAACAACAACATCATCACCATGCACCCTCCAAACTGCATCATCCACTTATACCAAAACAAGTAAACACAGAAGAAAACAACAATGTTGATGACGAAGAAGAAATAGTGGTCGAAGAAGAGGAGTTGCCACGCAACGCAAAGATTCATCATTCATCGAACGAACAGGCAGAGGACGAGGCTGCGAATTGTTTGTCCAGTAGCTTGCCTTTGGAAACTGGTGTGTTTCGAGGAGGACGACGACGGAGCAGTAACAATAGCAGCAACACAACAGCTACTACTAAACAGCCCGTATTATTTCAATCATCAGCACCTTCCTCACCCTCTGTACGCTCACGTAGCCAGAGCAACGCAGACCGATTATCGACCAAGCAATCACTCAGGCACATGTTTAGCTCGTTTTTACACAACGACAGCAGTAGCGACGACGGCGCGGATGCAACAACAGCAAACATGCCTGACAATGAGGCCAAGATCATGTCACGATGGATCAAAATTGGTCACCGACTCGTGCTGTGCCTTATTCTGCTGATTCATCTCGGGGACGGACTTTGCACCGCCATCATTTGTCGTCGTGACCATGATGTAATTACATCCCCATTCTTCATTGTACCAGTGTGTGTGTGTGTGTGTACATGTGTAACACTTAAAGTTTTCTAGAGAATGAAAAAAAAAAAACTCACATCATTTTGTAGGACTCGCATACCATTGAAACGATCCGTGATAAAATGACAAATCACGGCGTGGCTCGAACGCTACGTACCAGTTTACAAGAGCATTGGCAAGACTTTACTACCTTTTTATTGACAAAGGAAGCTACCCATTTCACTATCCTATCATTTATTACCGCGTTTCCGGGTCTATTACATTTTATCCATTTGAAAGATGGCGTCATGCTTGCCCCAAGGATTGTGGATTTGAGCGAGTTTAATCAGAACCATGGTCTGTTGTTGGAAATCGGTGAAAAGTATCAGCAATGGGCGTCCTCTTCCTCTTCCTCCTCTTTGACGACCAATGACGTTGATAATGCTAGCTGTCAGCAACAACAACAACCATCGTCATCATTTACCTGGGGATGGCCATCAATAACAAAACTGCAAGATTTGGTTAGTATATATTTCTATCATTATCAAATGGACAACAAAGTGTGCAAGGATTGAGATCAACTGGATGGGTGCCTCCATGTCAATTTAGTGCGAGCAAATGGTGCAGAACGAATCACACGATGAGGAACGACACATTGTGCAGTTGGATTCGACGGCTGGTCGAGGGTTCCAATGTGCATACCAGCGTGGCAAGCACGGTGATTTACTGATGGCGCTTTACTTTAGCTTCATACCCAGCAATGTGTTACTGGACATGCATCGACGCTTGTTCCTGGACGTAAGCCAACGCTTACCCTGAAAAAAAAAGAAATCCATTCTGTATACCCTACGTACCTCTTACTTCTTTATACTACAACAGTCTTCGCTTTCTCTTTCTCTCGTTTCCTCTACTCTCTTTTAATGAAAAGCCAGCAATCTGTACATATCATCGCCAACAAAAACTTTAAAAATTGACGACCATTGTGTGCGCAATTGCAGAATATCTCAGCCATTTGCTGAGGGCGGACCTTGCTGTCAATATAACTTTTTCCTTTTCTCTTTTTGTAACACCCCATTTCCAACAAAGCAAAATGAAGGTCAAGGTGAAATCGTGGACCATGGCAGCATATTGGTCGTGGGATGTTAAAGAAGCCGATGTTTGTGGCATTTGCCACGTTGCTTACGATGGATGTTGCCCTGATTGTACAACACCTGGTGACGATTGCCCACTTATTTGGGGTGAATGCTCGCACGTCTTTCATATGCATTGTCTTGTCAAATGGCTCGACAGTTCAACCAATGGCGAACATTGTCCTATGGATCGACGACCTTGGAAAACGGCAGCAGCTCCTAGCTAATAAGAGCAGAATGCGATATACATTTACCTGTTTCTTTACGCACCGTAAATTGCTACTGCGGCCTGTATATCTTGGCAAATCCTTACTCACGAACACAACAAATAATGGCATATTACTATGACCCTGACGATGAATGACGTTAAGAAACCTAGCAGTGCCACATCCATCACCATCCCCTCCCTCTCAACTTTCGTCAGGAATAACAATACCCACAAACATCATCATAGTTCTTTGCTTTGTAAAAAGAAATTCTTCCGGTTCTAATCGTACCTGTAAATATAAATATGAAGTGCTGTACTATTAGCATCCTCGGCTTTGTTTATTGATTTTTTAATCTTGATGGCAATTTGTTGAAATAAAGCATTGCTGGTTGATGAATTCCATACCTACAACCATGGCTCCATGTACAGTAATACTAAATGGGCCTACGTATTAACATGGTTTCGATGCTATCAGAATTGCACGAGTTTTGAAGCACATGCTACATATCACCGTTATCCTCGAAAGCAACTGTTATACTAATTCCAGCCATATTTTAGTTTGTTCTTGTTTGTCTTATCTTTCCCTATTTCGAACTTCGGGTGTATACGTCCGATTTGTATGTATGTGATAACGTCATTCCACTTTACCTGGGGGTTGACATGCTCAGTGGAACGTATATTTTTTACAGGAGCTGGCATCTTACCAAATTAAGCGGCTACGCTCTCAGAGCATAGTATATACACAACTCGCATAGTAGAACATATGTTAGTGCAGGGTGACACGTCTCCTTGAGGACGACGACGACTGTCATCGGCCTGCTTGTACTTCCCTCTCCTTTGCTTTTATCCTCTCCATTCAAATGAGCCAAGCAGAATTTATGATCACTGCTATGAAAGCTGATACTAATCCTGCAACGGCTCGAAAAGCTTTAAAAGTCATGATTTGTGTCTATAAACTATTGGTTTTTCCTTGTTTTGCTCATGACATATAATCGTTCTTTTGTCTCTTTGCTATGGATATTTGTCATTGCAAATTCAAAAATGTAGGTTTTGTCACGTTTTCGGTAGTATCTTTTAAAAAATTTGTATGTTGTCGTTCTTCGGGTGGTGGATCAGTGGGTATATTAATTACTAAAGCACAACAGACCATGGGAGGCTCAAGTACGCTAAAAGTCTGCTTCTTGTGCTATAAGGTCACGAAGACTCATGCTATTCATGTTGGCAGCACATATCTCAACGACGCTATCGACAAAAAATAGCCGCGATCCAAAGCTTGCCGGCACACAGTCATGTGTACAATGCATTGCGACATAAACTATTGTCTCGGAAATCATCGTTGGCGCACATATGTGAGCAGATGCGATCAGTGCAGAAAGCCAGTAATGCGACGGAGAGTAACAAGCGACGAGGTGAAGCAATTGTAGCCTTTTACAAACAGACCTGCGTCAGTGTTGGCTGCCTCATTCTGAATGTCGACTTCATTGTTACAGATCCAATGTTCTCAGCATTGTTCGTGACAAGACGACGATCACATTGGCAACTATATTTGTTCGTTGCAATTATCTTTATTGTGCAATCAGGAACGAAATTGACGCGTCTCGCAGCAAAGCTGAGCATGTTTAATCTTCTTTTAAACGGGGTCTTGAGCTCCCTCTTCGCTTCGCATAAGAAGAAGGCATACAACAATCTAAAACACGGACAAACAAGTTCAACGAGCGAGAAGAGAAAAAAACATTTGTTTATTTAATACAACATAGTACTTATTACTAGTAGAGTGTTGATGTCGTTTCAAACAGCTCATATATCGTCCTCCTCAGCCTGCCGTTTTCACTTGATTTTCTTTCTGTGAAGATGAATTTTTCCATGTGACACCAATTGAATAACAGACAAATACTCTTCTATTGCAATTAACGTGAGATATGTTTTAGTGTTGAATTTGTGTGTGTGTGTATTTATTTGTAGTCGCTGTTCAATGAGTTTTAAGATTTACAATAGGGCAGATGTTTGATGGTGTGATATGGGTGTATGTGTGTGTTTGTATTAGAGGAGATACTACTATAATTACAGTTGTACCCCGGTTTTTGCAACCGAGGGTTTTCCGATTTTTTTTTGCAAAAAGTGAGGATTTGCAAGTAACGGGGTAAACAATACTGCTTTAAGTATACACTGGATAAGTCATCCTATTAACACTAGCCCATTGTTTATCTGTCAGATATGATGTACGATACGTTCTTTGGGAATATTCATACAGCTCTAGATGTTACTACTTGCATATATTAAAAACCGTTCTCTCATTGAAGCTGTCTAGTGGTTTGATAATTATTAGCTATTTTAAGCATGACAAAATCGTTCCACAAGTTCACATCCAAGCAAGAGGATCGAACGTACGACGAGCACTTGAGCGGGCGGTGGACCAAAGCGCTGATTCGCCTATTCCAGGGCCAACGTCGAAGGAAAAACAGGTTGCAATTGCAGGAGTTTTGAGCTTTTTGGATAATATCGATAACTACGACTTAAAGAAGTCTTTGCGTAGGATTCCAGAGAGTCTCAGGCAGCAATCAATCTCCCGACAATCATCCCTTGATGACTTCTTCGATATGTAGTTAAAAGCTCCTTTGAGCAAACATTTTATTTCTATATCTATATGTAGTGTGTTCCCTTTTTCTTATACAGTATCTTCACCATTTCTTTTGTGGATTCAATCCAATCAGTGCTATATATGTGTCCCGATTCTACTGGCTCAACTACCAAATAATAATTTTTATGTATTTCGACAATAAATACATCTAACCGCATCATTTTATTCCTCATAATCCGCAACAGATGCTTCTTTCAGTTGATATTGCAAAAATTGAAGCTGTTTTCACCCCGATAACATGCAAATCGTATAAACTCATTTGCAAGTTGCAAATTTGCGAAACTACTAAGTTTTTTTTGGATTTTTCAAAAAAAGTTGCAGATATACGAGGAATTGCAAAACCAGGGGTTGCAAAAACCGGGGTACAACTGTAGTTGCTGAGAGAATCTTTGATGTGCCAGGCAGGTTTCTATGAGATGTTGGTATTGGTATTCCATGTTTAAAGTGTAAAAGGCCGCCAAGTGCGGGCTTGCTGACAGTTGTAGTTCCCCGTTTTTCCTCGCCAGCTAGATTTTTTAATTTGCATCTCCATCTGTCGCATAGATATGTCGTGTAATAGCCTGTTTTGTTTTGACGGTCTAATATTAGCTACTTTGTATGTTATCTTACTTCGGACTATTCAAATCCACATACCAATTTGACTTGGCCTCTGAAATCAGTTTTGGCATTGCGTCTGTTTTTCCTTCAATGATCTGCATACAGATATGAAGATACGTTGGCCCAAAAAATTACGGCAAATGAGAAAAGATGGTGAAAGATAGGCTGCGTACGCTGATCGATTTATTATCATGTTGTGCCGTAGAAGCAATGGATTTTTTCGAAGAGGTCGTCGGCTGTGCTAGATGTGGATTTGGTATTTACAGTATCGTCGACTTCCACATAGAAAGGATCGTACGGTTTATCTTTAGGGAAATCTGTCACATAGAGCAAAGAGAGGATGTTTACGGTAAGAAGAGAAAGCTAGTTGCCAGGCACTGGTTGTTATGCATATGCAGGGTAATTGCCATGGTAATGGTTGCTGTTCTGTTATAATATGTATATCCACTTACCAAACGGCATTCGCCTCGCGTAACGTTTTAGTGGAGCATCTTCTCCTGGATCGCCATCGTCGAAATAATTCCCACAACAACAGGGCGGATAGCAGTGTGCTACATACATTTTGATTTATGATAAGCATATACTGATACAATTCCAACGTCAACACGAGCATATAGGTTATATAGGCTACACTCACTTTTCTAGTAGATCGCACGGCCCGGTCTGACTTGATTGTACGTTCATCATCACTTTCGACATCTTCACCTTCTGATAAGTACCCTTCAGGGACCAGCCAGCCAGCCTAAACAAAGTTCTCTCATTAGATCTTAGGATCGACTGTTTTTGTTTGCCTTACAGTGTATTATTATTTAGATAGATAACTCACATCCTCTGGGTCGGGAACATCTGAAGAAGGATCGTCATCCTCTTCGTCACCGTTTTGGATTTCTTCTCCTTCGGCTTCTGGTTCCTATTCTTCTTCACTATTTTGGTCATACAGTAGTCGACAAGCTGATCGTCTTGGGCAAGTGGTGCTCGACTGTTGATTTTCTTACTCGATTTGGTCGATGTGCCTTGAAAATATGCAAGAGCGAACGGACGAAAGAAAGTTCGGGTTTGTTAATCTTCATCAACCTCAGCTGAATTCTTCTCGGTTTAGTACACGACCGCTTACCATAATACGCTGACCGAACATCTTCAGTAGATTGTAAGAGCTTCATGGAAATTTGCAATTGATTAAAGTTCTCCATATCCGGACCAAGCAGATCGTGCGAAGATCACTGCTTTGACGGCGACCTCGTCGTTGAGTGAGTTCAAGCTTGGACTGCTTTACTGTGTGGAGGTATTGCGATCGTAAATCATTCGATACTAAAAATTTCAAGAAGATGTCAGCACATAAGTACAGCACAACCTTGGTTATCTTCTCCTCTCACTATTTAATAGTAGAACCTTGGAAAATTTACCTTCACAGAACCAATATTTGTCAGTTGTGAGTGTCTTGATGTGGTGGACCAATTTCTTATTATCATACGATCCTTATTGCTAGTTGTCCATCGGTGCATAACCACATTATCCCTGACATGGAAGGGTGGGAATATATTTCTAGTGTCTATGATTTTGGTTCGAGTCTGAACATAATTAAATTTCATGAGTATCCCATCTTTTCTTCGTATTTATCTTGTAGTCATTAATAGGCAGCTTACCACTTTGCCCAGCACATGTAGGTTTCTCCTCTGGAGCTTTTGTAAATAACGATGTAAGGCGCAGGTCTACATGAAGAAATATTAACGTCTAGTGACACTTATCTCGTCACAGCCATAGCAATTATATCCCCGTTCTTATTCCTCTATGTTACCTGTTCTTTTTCCCGTTTTTCTTCTTCCCGTTTCCGTCGTACTTCCTTCTTTTCTTCCTCGCGTTTGCATTTTTCTTTCTAATACATTATCAAAATGTTAATGCAACGGAGTAACTTTTGAACGCATGCCTTCATCTTTCTTGTTTATACCTTTTTCCGGCGTTTCTCCTCTTTTTACAGATTGCTTTCAGCATTGGTGGTCTTGCTTTCATCATGTGTTTTGCGGTTGTGTTTCGGTAGCAAAATTGCAAGTTGTTGTTCCTTGGGAAGCGCTTTGAAACAAATAATGACAGAAGTTGAAACCTAGATCAAAAAATAAGATTTGAATTAAACCGTTTTGACAGATAGCAAAAATTCAAAGTAGCTGCAATATAAGCATATCACAATATAAATAGTTTTCTTTCCCGTTTTCCTTGTATTGAACTATTACCTGTGCGCGTATGGTGCTTGGCTGATGAATAATTGTTTGGATATGAGGTGGAAGACAAGTTATATCTTTTACTTCCCACCGCCAAAGTAAAGATGCTGTATATAAACTTTTAGCACAATTCTCATCAAAAACAGGTAGAAAGAGAGATCAAAGGAAGAAAACACATACATGAGGTATATTTGTGATGGCTCATTTTTGATGGCTCAAAACGTCTGGTGTTACACCCTATTTTGTACGCGTCGCAATGAACTTTGCTGCAGTTTCGATGATCTCTGTAAAGTGGTCGCTGTCTATTATTTATGAGTTAGCCGATCTGACGAGTCTTATGGCTCTCTTTTTACGGCAATAAATACATACCGTACACTGTTCATTTCGTAAAAGCGGGGATAGTACTTCGTTGATGCGATTGGAAAGCTGTCCGCTTGATTCGTCACCGTATGGTCGTTGTCATAAATGATATGTTTTTTTTAAATGTGCAAGACATAGAGTGCTCAGTAGTACGTCGAGATATTGACTTGGGAATTGTGATACAGATTATAGTTGCTGTTTTTAATCGGGCACGATGCAGGCGGAACACCTTGACTCCTACAAGAATTCGACTTGGTTTAGAAAATCGCCGCTTCCTTTTTTAACGCAGTGAGGAATGAGTGAACGTACGTTCTGCAATAGCTTCGTAAATCTCAACTCGTAACTTTGGTTCTCCATATGTTACTTTACCGTCTTTAAGTAGTCCAGGATTCTTTGATACTGGAAATTTCAAATAAATGTTAGGAGTTGATTCTTTTCTAATCTCAAATGAAGCATTTAACACTTACAGAGATCGAGGGTGCATCATCAACACGCACTGTAAAAATGATTAAACAACAATGATTAGCAAGGGATTTTGCTTATCTTTAGTTACTCTTTGCTGCAGTGTATATGAGGAGTTTCTTACCGGCTTGGAAGCTGTTGTGCTGCCATTTGGAATTGTTGATGTTCTGGTGTTTCAGGCGCTGGCATGCTCATCAAAGCAGGAAAAGAAGAGAAGCAGCAGTATGGAGCTGACGCGCGACGCGAATAACTGATTGGATTGAAGAACAAGTCGCGTCGCAATTTGATGCGAGGAACAAAAACGTGAGTGACGATTGACGAATGCGGATGTTGCTAAGAAAAACCTTTTAAATTTTAGTAGCCTTATAAGCAAAAGATAGAAGAAGTGTTTGTGCTTACTGTTTATAACCACTTGTCAGGGAATGCGTTTGCGAGGGAAGATGCTATCAATGGCTATTGAAGGCAGACCCTAGTTTAACGTGGTTATTCAATATGTCGATGTTGATAAGTCGATAATAGCCACTACTATGATGGTTCGAACGACGTACAGTAGTCTAGGTAACCGAATCACTCAAATTTTCTACGTCTGGGTTATATTCAACGGGTATACATACCTTGTATACTTCAATGATTGCTTGTAATACTGTAATGAAACTGGTATAGAGCATCAGCCATGCATCACCACTGGCAAGTCCATATTTTGGCGACGCTTGTTTTCGTGATTTTTTTTGTGATTTTTTTTTTGCTTTTTTGGTTTTTTTTCCAGATTTTCGTGGTTTTTCTCTTCGTACTGGCTAAATAGAATATCAGGCTAATGTAAAGATGCATTTAGTACTATTGTATATACATTCAGCAATTCAAGCTTTCTTTCAGTGCGGAAGGAAAGGAATCAAATACTTACATTACCAAGCAAAGGATTGCTCCCACTCCATGTGGTCGGAGTCGACCAGCATCTGTTGCTCGAGTTGTTGTTGCTGCTGCTGCTGCTGTTGTTCGAGTTGCTGTTGCTGCTGCAGCTGCTGTTGTTCGAGTTGCTGCTGCTGTTGCTGCTTCTCAAGTTGCTGTAGATGCTCCTCAAAGCGGCGTCGTCGATCCGCGTCCTCCAAAAGGTACTCTTGTTCTTCCTGCTGCCGCTGTCGCTCGCGTGCTTCGCACCGGAGAAGCACCTCTTTGTAATAGGCAACTTCAGGGTGAACAGGAATTGGGCGTCGGTAGGCGACTGCCTCGAGCCATTCACGAGTTGGCTCCTCTGGCTCTCGGAAAAATGCACTGAGGTTGGGTAGGGCTGGTGACGATGGTGAGAGGGGTAGTGGTTCTGTTTCTATGCTCGTTTCTGCCGCTGCGGGAATAACACTTGTCACTAGCGCTGTTGCTGCTACTTTTACGATACCAATGACAAATAGCGGCGCTTCTGTTGCTGTTACTTTTACAACGCAGATGATAAACAGTGACACTTCTGTTACTGTTGCTTTTACGATGCCAACGACAAAAATCACCACCTCTGTTGCTGTCGCTTTTGCTACGCCGATGACAAGTAAGAGTACATTTGCTGCTAGTGCTATTGTTAGGGCAGTGACACCCATCAGCATTACTGCTGCTGCTGCTATAGTTGCGTTAATCAAGCTTGTGACTGCTACGGCTACTGCTGCTGTTGTTGTTGGTGTCAAGCGTTGATTTACCCATCGAGTATAGTATAAAAAAACTAATACTGCAACAGGCATGATTTTCCGCAGCACTTCGACTGACCGAGGCATCGTGTAAGCCACGTCTTGCGAGTATATATCCATGGTACAAGCAAACCAGAGAGAAAGAAGGATGATAGAGCTAATCGCAGAGACGGGATTCAAGACGGGCATGGCGGTTCAGGCTAAAAAAAGTGGAAAAAGATTGAGGGAAAGAGAAGGTATTTTACTGCTGAGGGCAACATCTCTCCTCTTTATCTTTTCGCAAAGAAATATCATCGACGTCACTCGTCAGATCGCCCCACCTGCAAAGGTTACACGAGCATGGCGAACAATGGATGGGCTTCTTGTAAGCCATCTCTTGACCCGTTGCGATTACCTTGCTTTACTTTGTTTTCACTTTCGGAATGTACAGGTTCTAGGCTACAAGTACATACTGACCTTACTTTTGTACGTCGCTGTCGTGCTGCGTGGCGTTTCATAAAAGAAAAAAATTCTGTTGCGTGCCAATAAGTTATGCGTCAACCCTTTTTTTATTTCAGAAAATTTTCACGTGATGACGACGACATCCCTCTACTGCTTTTACGCATGGTGGGCATTACACTGCACACTGCGCGTCTGTTAAAGGAAAGTCCAATTAATGGAGGAGCAGTCAAAAGATCACAAAAATTGACTCCGGTGCGGATGAGAGTCTATGCACTTGCAAGTACGTTCTAGCCTATTTGGCGGCATTTTTGTAGATGAACGATGTGTCTTTGTGTGTCAACGTATTTGAGACGAAGTATCAAGCGTATTCATCTTTGTAATCAAGGAAGAGCCACTTGGTGATTATGTTTCTAACATACGCTACAATGCATTGCAATAACGGGAAAAACATACATACGGATATGGATTACCAAAAGCAATAGCAATAGTGTCTCGCAGGGCTGCTGCTATCTACAACTGGTAAGCAAAGCGCTTAACATCATGTTACTATCAATTATACAACTCCTGTGCGTATAAACTGTACTTTTCTGTCCTTGCTGATGCAAAAAGGGTTAACACGTACATACATTTGCTGTAAGACATGTCTCATTCAGTGTTGTTACTTTGCCTTGTAACTACGGTTTTTCAGTTCATGTATGTATCCTCTCCAGTTTTGAGCTGCTTTCCGGTAGTTTTGTTTGTGTACTGTGGAGTTTATAGCGCGCAATTGGCTCTCTAAAAAATGATTGGCAACGCCTATGAAAGTGTCCAACTAGTTTGTTGAGAGGCAAAATTGACTATGAATGATGCATGAAATGGGCGAGAGGATGGATCTCACTTGAGTGCCGTTATTCATAACTTTCAGCTACCCCAAACACAGGCATACGCAGCGTGAGCAAACTGCCGAGGATGTATTTTGGGACGATAAAAGGGATGCTAACAAGGGCAAACTATTTGAATATAACGCTTGGAGTGACTCCCAACAGGCCGTCGTTCTTACTTCCGGTTTTGGTATCGCTTAAAAAAATTTACTCTCTTTCTTTATCATTTTCTCTTTCCTCTGTAACTCTGTAACTCTCCGATTTTATTCGCCAATCGCAAGTGCTTTATATATTGCGCGTCGTATCACGCTGTAATCGTTGCATTTGCTCTTCGTGAACCATCTTCTCAGGTCGAGTTTGAGCTCGTGTTTTTTATATTACGAGGTACGATTGCCTCTGACAAGTCTTGTGTGTCTCTTGATATAGCTGGAACGAGAGCGATCAGACATGAAACTCTCCA